AACATTGCGACACCCTCTTTGATTTGTTTGAGGAGTGAAAGAAAAGCAGCCCAAACTGAATCGCTGTGTAAATATATGAGCAAAGCGCGGCTAATTCTTCAGATATGCTGGCGTGATGTAGGTCAACGGGCAACATAAACACTCTGCGGGGTTGACAGCGACCCGTCACGTGCCAGCGATTGGCTCCTTCCAAGCCCGAAATAACAATAAAACTTCTGACTGTAATTCACTCGCACATACCTTATTTTTTTTTCTTCTTTTTTTTAATCAGACACAGACCGAAATTCCTCTTTCATTGTTTGAATTTGTCATGTGTGTGGCTGAGGAATTTGACGCACAAAAGAAGGTTGACTTTGGCTCAAAGCCCGCGTTGAGAATAAACAGCAACAAGTGTTGAAAGCGCAACGCACGTCTCTCGATGTGAAAAAAGAGACGAGCCCAATAGAGTACAAAGACACGCAGGGTTTGTTCCCAGCCAAATCTTTATTCCTTTGTGCTATTTGTTTTTTTTTTTTTTGTTTTTTTTTGCAGGTCTATTTATAGAACATTTGTAAGTTGCTTGCATGTAACTTTTCAGAGCCTTTCAGCATTTTTAGGAGTTTTTAGTTAACTTTTGTGGAGTATTTCAGGACATTTAGATATATTTGTGTTACTGTGAGGGGAGGATCCTTCCACTTCCTCCCTGATCTGGAGAGGAGGGCTAAGTGATGATGAACGCTGTACGGGTTCTGCTCATTTTCCATCTTGTTAAATGGACTTTGGTATCATCCTAACTATCATTGTCTACCAATATTGTGTCAAATATGGCCCACTCGGCATCCATTGCAGCCTGGTCATCCTGGAAGTGGGGATTGCCCCATCTGCGGCCCCTTCTCAAGGTTCACATTTTTTCCCCAGATGAGGTTTTTAGAGTTTTTACTTGTCCTCCTGGGGGTTAAAGTCAGGGGATGTCGCGAATACTTGTCAACTGTGGGCATGTGAAGCCCTTTGAGGCTGTTTGTGATTAAGGACGATATAAATAAATGTGACTTGACTTGAATTACAGTCGATGTAAGGGTAGATTGAAGAATCTTGAGGTAACATTCGTACTCGCAGTGTTTTAGGAGTTATTTGGCTACAGTTTAGTTACGGAAGGTTTACACGTGGTCTAAGTAACATTGATCACACGCTAGCAACATTGCAAATGCTGCCAGAGTTTGAAGCACCTGTCAGCCTTTTGACATGTTTTTTTTTTGTCATTACCTCAAATACACATATTAGCTCATTTGTTAAAATGGTACATGTTCTATCTTTGTTGATATTGAAGATGAAGTAGTTCTCAGCGTCATGCCTGCGACAGTGACCTAACAGTGATGACGTAGACTCCAGCGTCTGTAAACTCTCTTGAGGGTGTTGATATTTTCATGCTTGACATCCACTTCCCTCCCGCCTCCTTCCCGCTGACGCAAGCACACATGTACATACCGGTACATGCTCTACAGAAGATGTGTGGTGTTGATGTTACATCTCGTACAGTAGCTGAATGCAAACAGGGTCACGTAAGAGGGCCTTGAACACTGCAAATGTGGTGCCGTTGCCCGGATCACAAACATGGCTGTCCGCAACACTGTGGCATGATCACGTCAGCTTATATTAATCATCAAAGACGTTGTCTTCTCATGATGCAAGATTTCATTTAAAATTGCAGACTTAAAGGAACAAAGAGATGGCAGAGCTCACTGTTTCTGCCATTCGGGCACTTCAGGAAGTCATTTCCTGCCGCTCACACACATTGAAGAGAGTGTTGGCCCTTTCGTCACCTGTGAGATATCCCGGTGACGAAGCTGGAGAGCGAGGCGTGTAATTACGACTGTGGCCAGACGGTGGAAAAAGAAGGGTAGTCAAGGTGAAGAAAAGTCTGACAGATGTATTTGGAATACCAGAGAAGACCGCAAGAATCTCAATAATGTTGAGTCTCCTATAAGCATCTAAGTTACACGACTTGTGCTATGTCATGTTCACTTTGGTGGGGAGATAAATAAGGGACCTTTTGACTGAGAATTTCAGAAAAAGACCATTGACCCAGTGGACATTTATCGGCCGGATGGCATCCAGTCATTTGGTGACCTCTGTGAAGGGCAACCTTGTATTGGACCAGCACTACAAACTAAAATTTCCAACTAAATACCACTGCGAACTAGAAAAACAGACAGCCAGTTAGGTCACAACCAATTAACTAGCTAACTATTAACACAAGCTTCTTGGTGGTGCTATTGATCAGAAATTACAATGGCCTTCACTCCAGCACAGGCCAAAGCGAGCTACAAACTAATCACTCAATCAATAGAAACCTTGTTTAAAAAAAGAACATTCCTCTGTCAAGGCTGAACAATTCTTGGATTTGTTTCAGCATTACAAATAGCTAGCTGGGCAACCACCCAAACAACAAAACAACCAAGCAGCTCGCTTGCGAACAAACAACATAATCCTCGATGGAGCGAATGCTTGTAAATGTAAACGGCGAGAGAACAGACCACCACTAAGGTTGACCGCTCTTGATTTACATCAGGAATGCTAACCAACTAGCTTGTCATGATCCTTTGAGTCAGCATAGCTAGCTGTCTGACCAGCCAGCCGACCAATTAGCTACATTACAAATTGTATAAGTAAACACACCAAACATTCCTTGGCAGAATTAATAATCATGGATCGAGCTGTCTAACACGCTAGCTAACAATGTTTTCTACATGAGAGTCTTTTGGCGAGCTAAATTAGCAATCGCTAACTTATCCGAAGCATCTCTAGGTTTTTATCTGCCACAACAGTAAAATCTGCCGGCCTCCTCGCTGACATTCAAAGGTCACACCATCACTCGATCCCGATTTTTCTCACGCACGCTGAAAAGTGACGGACCCATGGCCACACCCTGTGAAATGTGCCCTATCGCAGCTGAGAAGCAGGTCAAGCATTCAAACGGTGCACTAAAGTGAGATAATCGCAGCATAGGTTAGCTGTGCACGCGCTGACAGATGTGATTAGCTCCTCCGGCTAACGAGTGCTCTGATCTGCAGGGGCTTTTCTCCCTTGAAGTAGTTCTGTGGGACTTGGCTCTGTATTAGGTCACCAAAAGGTGGCAGGCCGGCTTTGCATGTCACCGGTCCAGACGACCGATACCTCAAGGAGCAAGAAAGCATGACCGATGTGGCAGTGTGAACAACATCAACATGGAATCGGACAACCTGGCAGTTTTTACGCCTTCAGATGCGGTCGCGAAGCCGTAACAGGCGGGATGCCACCTGTGTTCAAGGTGATCACAATGCTGGGGAAGGGATGTGAAGTTGAACACCTGACACCTGCCCTGTAGACTCGAATCTTATGGCTGTAATTGAAGTGGAGCAGCGCCCGTAACCTCATTTACACTTGTAAAAGCTGGTATTTTTCTGGCCTTTATCTGGGTTCTTATGTCTAAACGGCACCATTATGGAATGTGGTGGCGAAGTCAGAGCTGTAATAGAAGTGGGACAACACGTGTTGAGGTGTTTTGCAATAACAGGGTGGAAAGTCTTAACACCCGGCACTCGCTTGATGATGTCATGATGATAGGAAACCATTTCATGTTTTGTTTTGTTTTTTTAACACTTTGCAGAAATGCTGCTCTATGCGATTGCACATATTGCACAGACCAGAAAGGATCACTACGTCAGATGCTTCAGATTGGCTAAAACAGCCTCTATATGGTTGCTGGTTGTAGCGCCACCTGTTGCTTTAGTCTGCACTTGACAGCGTCCTGATGTGCTTGCATGTGTTTTTAAAAATAGCCTCAATGAACCAGAAAGTCAGAGGCTGAGTGTGACCTCAAAGAGGCTGCTTTTAAGCACACCATATGTAACAAGCACCGCAGGCTGCCAAATGCGCATATGCAGCCCATATAGATCCCAATAGAACTCAGCTAATGGCTCCATTTTAGGATCATTGAATGGGAGATGCATTCTCCCCCACCCTCCCCCCTCCTTTCCCCATACACACAGCTTTCAGCATTTGTGCATGGAGTAATGGAGTACTGTACTCTATTGTATTGACGTCACATGGGGGGAAAAAAAAGGAGCAGTACTGTATCTGTTTGTGTCAGATGACCTGGATTTAATCGCAACATCTTTCAGGCAAATCTCTCCACAAAGAAGGAATTTACTTGACATTTACTTCACAGCATTCCAAATAAATCAAGTTAGCACCGTGATTAGATTTGCCACAATTTGGCGTCAGCAATGGGATCTCTCGTGTGATCATCCGGTCGGGAAAGAGTGACTGGTGAAGAAAATCTCCAGCCTTAGAATATGATTACAAGATGAACTGACACGGAATGGGGGAAACAAATCGACCTGCCAATTATCTAACAGAGGCGGGGATTATGATTGTGGCCCCTTTTATATTTGTAGAACCTGGTCTTTTTTTGGGTGTGGGTGCTACTTATAACCTCTGCGGAATGGAAAAGTTGACCAGGCAATTTTCTGCCTTCAGAGGTGGTATCAGGGCATTTTTCCCTTTGTAGCTCCTGAAAACTTCCAGCGGATTTCCAGGTTTCTGCTTTGTACAAACAGCAGTGACACGGAAAAGGGGGACACCTCAGTCACTAGAGGTAGTACCAGACACCACCTGGAGCCCCGTTCTGGAAATTTTCTGTCTTCAGAGGTTGTAGCGCTATTACACCTACAGAAGAAACCATTTTTCAATTTTTTTTTTTGGTCACTGTTATGTTGAAACAGCAACCAAAAAAAAAAGTCTTCTGAGGTCGTAAATGGGACCTGCAGCTGATTTTACAATTGTCCAGTACACTTGTGTACACTTGTTTATAGCTGGGCTCACTGTCGTGTATAACCGCCAAGGAATGGGGGTGGGTTGACCTGGTAATTTTCCGCCTTCTAAGGTAGTGTCGGAGATGGGATAGCACCTGTAACTCCTTTTGCAGTTGTAGAAACATGCAGTTTTACATTTTTTTGGGGGGGGGGTGAGTTGTGGGGGCGCACTGTCATGTTTAACTGCCAATGAATGTGGGGCTGAAGTCGACCTAGCAATTTTCCATATTCAGAGGGAGTATCAGGAGAAAAGCTTCCAAAGCCACTTCGACACTTGTAGAAGCCAGTGTTTTGCTGCCTTTTTTTTTTTTTTTTTTGGAGTCTCGGTTAAGTATAAACAGCCATGGATTGGGGGTACGAAATCGAACCTGGAGATTTTCCGCCGCCACAGGTAACTTTTTGTTTTTCAAGGCCTTTATTAATTGGGGAGCCCACAGGTCCTATTAAGCTGCATTGCGGTTGAAGGTTCCTGGATGACATTTAAATGGAAATCCCGCTGTCACACCGGATCAATTCATTCTTTCGACCCGTAGGGGGGTTGTATGTGCGCAGGAGGGACAAAGGCACAGAAGGGAGTCGGTTCATTCGAGGGGCGATTAAGACCTTTGAGGTGCACACAAACAGATCGAGAGGAGCCGGTAAATAGCTGGATCACAACAATGCGGGCTTATTGAGACATCAGGAATTGGCCAATGAGAAGCCACCGCCTAATTAAGGGCATCATTAATGAAGTGATTTGATAGGGGGGGGTGCATGAGGATCATTGGGGGGGGGGCAAGCCCAACTGACACCCCCTCACAGCCCCTGTGGGCGGCCTGCTCATTGGTTCATTACACATAGTAAACACATGTATCGCCCCCGGCCTCCATCATGGTACACACATACACACACATTATTTAAAAAAAAACAAAAAAAAAAATCCCTCCCCACTTTCAATATGATCTTCGTCATGCTCTGGTGAAGACTGATGCATCTGCTGGAATGCGGCAAGCGAGACTGGCTGATCTGAACTAACACTCACACTTGATCTATTAAATCATTCATTTTTAATCGGTTATGGCTCTCATGCTACACTAAAAGGTGGAAAAGAGCAAGGTTGACTTATTTGAGACCATTTCTGCCATTTAGACATACGGTGGACATAAAAAGTCTTCACACCCCAGTTTAAATGCTGGGTTTTTGTGATTTAAAAAAATGAGATCAGTCTGAAGTTGTTCCACCATTCATGTGATCTGTGACGTGCACAAGTGAATTTAATTTGAGAGGAATTGAAAAAAAAAATTATTTGGAGGTCGTGTCTGAGCGAACAGATATCGAAGTGTAAAATGAATACCGTCAGTGATATTTAACCAACTGTGTTGCTCGTATCATACTGAGTGGCGAGAACCTTCCCTTGCTCACATTCAATCCCATTTCATGTTCTATGGTTATCGTCATACTTTCCCTTCTGTCTCTGTCATCATTGGTACCCTCGGCTGAAGTCTCACAAGATTTGTTGACTTCATGCATAATTTGAACTCCACTGTACAGTGAACGCTGTACAGTACAATGATTTTTCCAACACTTGACACCGATGGGGGGTGTCACACACCTTTCACTTGAGATCAACATTCATGGACCAGGTTTGAGGGGGTTGGGGGGCCATGTTGTCAACTCTGTGGAAAGGGTGCTGCTGATGTGCTGCATTCTACCGCCCCCAAACCCCCTTTTCCACCACCACCACAGGGATGAACGCCATGTGACGTTTGGCCAGACGTTCTTATTTACCTTAAATGTCTGTCCCCCCTCCCTGCTCTTCGGTGGATGTCGCTGCGAATTAAACGTAGTACTTGGATGTTTTCCTCAGGGGCAGGCGAGGATGGCAGCGTGGCTCGCATGGAGGACGCATGTGGATGCGCCACACGTGCAACTGAAAGTGGGAACAATGTAACCATGTGGAGAACAAAGAACATTAGGACTTTACAGGGCCTGACAATTTTGTTGCCCTGTTGTTCGTGGATGTTACTGTTGTGCCAGACGGAAGTGATGAAATAAAACTGAACATACATTTAGTGTACATGAATAAGTGAAGAATTCACAGTCAGAAATACTGAATGCACTGTTACTGGAAACTCTAATTTACTGGAAACATTTGTACTTTTCATTGTATCGAACCTTTTTTAGTATTTCATTTCATGCAGGTATTAAAAATTAAGTACTGTACTTTCTTAGCCATTTATGTGGCCTTTGGCACCCCGTAGTGGTTAAAAATGCAAGCGTTCCACCTTCAGGGCTGGTTTTTATTTGTTGTCATCGTGTTTCTATTCCCAAAACAATATGATTTCAAATCATTGGTTGCAATTTAAAATGGTTTCATTATGTATGGATGGCTAAGTAATATGTTGGTTTTGATTATTAAGAGTTGCATGACGTTTTGTGGACACTGAATTAATATTTTGTCCGAAAATATTATTTTTTTTCGATTGACAAAGTTGGGAATGGGCATTAAGACTGTCACTTGTGTATATTGTAACGAATTCCTCGAATAAAATAAAGTAATTTACTTTATACTTGAAAGATTTGCTATTTTATGAAATGCGTTTTCTATGAGAGGATTTTTTTATTTATTTTTTTTTTACTGGTAGCTATTTTGCGACAGTCGTGCTAATTGAGTCACGTGACGTCGCTCCGACTTCGTCACTGTCTCAGGGCTGAAATAAATCGCGGGCTTCGTCGCCGCCATTAACAAAACTACAAAAAGAAAAAGAATAAAATGGAACAACCCAACGTTATCATCTGTTACTTCTGTGGGAATTCCTACACTCTGTCAGGTATATTTGTCGACTTGTTGAAGTATTGTTACTATAAAGTTACTGTACTCCGATTCCCGGTTTTAGCGTACTATGAACAACTAGCAAGGCTCGCTACAAGTGCCGAAATATGATTAAAACTAACACCTTTGTGGTTATGAGTTTCACTGGTTAGCTGTTGAATGTCGTTTAATATGTAAGGGAAAGCAGTTTAGTTGTTTAATGACGTTCCGACGACAGAAAATGTTTGCTTCTACCCTTTCTTCGGGCCTGTTTAGAATTAACGGTACTAATTGGGTTTCGGCATGACGCCATCCCGCGGAAGTGGAGGTTGTACTAGACCCTCAAAATCTCAAGAGTTTTTTTTTTTAATTTTTTATTTTTAGATGGCATTAGATCCGTTGTACCTTGGTAAAAGTTGTTGTGAAAGTTGATATTTTTGTTCAGGTCTCTGTTATGTATAAACGGAGGGACAACGGGAAATGGAGCGATAAAATCGAGACATTAAGTCCCAAGATTTGTGAAAATAAAATGAGAACAACAAAATAATATAAAATAAATACGATTTGAAAGTTTGCAAAGATGCAGTGCAGCCAAATTGTGAAGTCAGCAGAAAATGCTCGAGGCTTGAATTTCACATATTTTTAAAGTCATTTTGCACTTGACAAAAAGAGCGTTGAATGTGCAGGGATGAATAGGCAGGAGGCGAGTGGTACCTTTGAGTCGTTGCAGTTTGGTCGTTGAATAAATGCAGTACAACGTTTTGAAATCAATGAATACTCATTTTAACATATCATGATTGCAATACCAATCAAAATAGTTGTGATTATAATGTTTGCCATATTGGCACAACCTAATGCACATCTAAGTTTCTGGTTTGCATTCTGACCAAATGGATTTTGGTTTTCTCACTCAGAGAATGAAGCTGAGGACAATCTGCCTCGTACGCTCATGTGCGGTCACATTTTCTGCACGTCGTGCCTGCAGTCCATGGAGTGTGACAATGTGATCAAGTGTCCTGAGTGTGAGGTGAAGCGACAGTGTTGGTACCATACATGTTGCCTGTGCTTGTGGTGAATGATGGCCCTCTTGCGCAGGTGGAGTCAAGCCTGCCTGAAGACGGTGTGCTGGGGCTGCAGGAGGACGCTCGCATCATTGGCCTCATCTACGCTGCCAAAATGAACAAGAAGAGAAGGTAGGGCTAGGCAATCAATCAGTTTAATCAGTTAACAAACAACAATTGGAGAAAAAAATTGAAACATTAATTCTTTACAGTATTTTTAAAAATGTTTTTTGATGCAATTAAAAGATGAATATCTTTTATCCACTGTTTTTCAAAATACTTACGAGTAACTTTAATTTTGGTGAAAAATCAGACAGCATAACCAAAATCATTTTGACATTGTTTTACGTATGACAAGAAAGGAGCTCAAAGAAAGGCAATCTCAGAGACAACTGCGCTGAACGTTGCCAAAGACATAGTGCACATTTATATGATGCTGAGCGCAGTGACTTATCCATGTCAAACTTTTGACAGCCGGTATGTGATTTCAAGCCAAGTCGCAAATGTTTTGCTGAGGTCACCTTGAGAACAGAGTGAGAGAGAGCAGATGGGAGTCCACAGACGTATGGACCAGCCAAGCCATGCAGCTTGACAGCTTGATTCATGTTAAATTGTTCAAGTTTCAAAAATCAAAATGACCTACATAGTTTGAGAAAATGTATTCATTTTTTTTCCCCCGAAGAGAAAGCATTTATTTTTTTACCATATCAGTCAAGAGAAATATTTTTATTTTTTGGGACGTTGACACAAGTTCACAGATCTCACTTTATTGTTGCTCAGGTTGAACAAATCAAACAATCGCAGGAAACTCCGAGCGTTATCCTCTGACACCAATGGCAACACCAAAGATGCAGAGCAGGTACAGTACGTGTGCTTTTAACTTCACTGATGTCAGGTTTGTTTTTATGTTTCTACAAAGTTAACATGACGACACTGACAAACAATACTCCAAGAAGAATTTCATAACAGTAAGCTGCCGTAATATGAGTTGCTTTTCACAAGGGATACATACCAAATGAACTGTATGCCTGTGATTTTTGTTGTATTGTATATTGTTGAGGCTTCACTGTACACCAAAAAAAGCGAGCCAGCCTTTAAGATTGGATGTGTCCATTAAATCTTCTGCTCAGCCGGTGACCAATGAAAAGAGTGAGAGAGCTGTGGATGAGGCGTTGGCCACCGCTGCGGAACATCTGGCCAAACTGGAGCACTTACACCAGGTGGAATAGATGCGCTTAGTTCTCCAAAGTACTGCAGACTTGTGTGGAATTGCTTAGTGGGATTTTTTTTTTTTTTTGAATCTGGGCAGACTTTAACTACAGGCCTGGTAGAACAAGTGAAGAAAGAGCAAGCTCGATTGAAGTTGGAGATCTACCACGCCGTTGACAAAGTGATACACGCCACCCATAAGTGGTACGACCGCTATGACATCAACATGACAACATCTCATTGCGTGGCTCACTTGGTCCAGACATACATCGAGAAATGCCCCATCCCGTTCAGATCTCCTTGGTCTTATGTGGAGTTTCACATCAAACGTTTCCTTTCTTGTCAGACACAAATTTGGTGCCCTCACCTCCCCCATCCTTTTTTTTTTTTAATAGTTACTAGGGTGATCGGAAAAGTCGCTAAGTTGGCAACACTAACTTTGCTTATCTGAAGTAGCTCCTCTCTGTTCACAGCCATTTGTTAATGTAAGGAGTACAGATCAGTCCAGCCCTATCTGTGCATGTCTTGCTCACTGGAGGATTTCAATGGTCATGTTTTGTATTCCAAAAGGCGTGACATGCAGCTGAGTAAGCTAAACAGACTGGATGCTCACTTCTCCAGTACCCACACTGAAGTTTGCAGGGTCAAGGCGAGGTTGGCCTCACTGGAGACTGCTGTGCAGAAAGCCAAGAAGGTGCGAAGCGTGCCCTTCCTGGAGCTGTACAGCGACTGGCAACAGGTGTGTGATATGAAATGTTTTGTGTGCCACAGCTTCTCAAACCTTTTGGGTCGATGGGAGAAAAGTTTTTCCGATGACTCGTGATCCTAACAACAATGAATTAAATATTAATTAAAACTTTAATTAAACATGGTATTCTGATTAACAATGTCTTTGTTAGAATCACCATTTTTAAAATCCATCTCAATGGGCAGCCACTTTTCGACTTAAATGGCGACTGAAAATGACATCACAGTTGCTTGGGGCACAGATAACCACCGATTCCAGCTCAGTTTGGTTATTTTTTTTCATTTTTGCAAGCTGAGCCGTGATTGGTCATTACCTGAGGCCCAAGCAGCTATGATGTCATTTTCAGTTGAAAAAAAGGGGGGCAAAATGGACCCCTCCTGAGAGTGATAAAATTAATTCAGTTTGAGAACGACTGCTGTAAACATATTTCTGACATTAGGAGTAGCGTAAATGCTACATTTTCCAATTTTTTTTTTTTTTTTTTGTGACAGATTTTGAGGACTCTACAGGCTCCTGTGGACAACCAGTCCTTCAACATGAAGTGCATCACCATGGGCTGTGGACTAAGGTTTGTAACCTTCGGACAATCAAATCAGCCAGGCAAAATAATAGCGAAAATTTACAAGCAGTAGTTACAAGTGTTGGACAGAAAATTTTGCGAGGGGAGGCGACTTCACAAAACAGCAAAGGCTCGCTGTACGTACATTGCTAACAATGTATATGTTTGTGTTTGGTGTAGTGTTAAGTTCAAGTGCCAGTTTCTGAACCAGAGTGTGGAGTTAATTCTGATGATGGATGAAGGCAAGCCAAACAAGTGAGTCCTTTTAAAATATCCTCATAGACTGGCAGGGAGCCTTCGTTCAATCAAATGCAGAGCGGTGCAACCAAGCTAATAACTCAATTGTATATTTTTACCCACCCGTCTAGGGTTAGGTGCAAAACATTAATAGGAAGGAAATCACTCTCGGTCCCCAAAGTTGTGATACATTTAAAAAAATAAATAAATAAATAAATAAAACGGTCCGAAGTAACAGGGCAACAGTGTTAAAGTAACAAAAATTACCCCAAAGGCAAAAAGGTAAGTACAAAAAAAAACACATTTATGGTTTATAAAACAAAAAGGTCTGAAAAATGGTTGAAAAACAAAAGGCAGCAAAAGTTGCCACACAAACAAAATATCTACCATAAAACTAACTAATAAATGCACAAACTAATGACTAACTATCGAAGCACGGATTCTTGAACAATAATTCACTAGGAAGTTGCCGCTTTGGTTTGAATTGGTCTTTTTAGGGTCCAACAGAGCAACCATTTGAGGAAATACATTATTCTACCTCACCATTTGATTGCTGCATTTGTCTTTTTGCCCTGTCACTCCTGTCTTGTCCTTGATTGTCTAGCCTGTCTGAGATGCCATGTCACCTCCAGCAACACATTAGCGACCTTGCCCAAAAGCCTGCCGGACATGGTCATGTCGAATCTTTAGTCAGCAGCTACAGCCACCACAGCCACAGCAAAGCCAAGAGTCCACTGAGGAGGATGAGTCAGAGGAGGATGAGCCCCAAAAGAAGGAGCCTGGCTTCTCGCTGCGCCTCTCCGAGCCCAACGCGTAGTAGCAGACGCTACCACTGCAAGACATCCTCTTCAGATAACGCCGCTGCTGATGTCGTTATTGAGGAGTTAATAGAGATGGAGGAGCAGTACGGTATGTCCGCATCTCCTTTGAGACAATTTGTTTCGTCATGAAAAAGACACTCCAGCAAAATTCAGGAAAACCCGACTCCATCGCGGGTTCGGCTTTTTCACGGATTGCTTTTGTCCTGTTAAGACTCAACTGAAAGATGTTTACAAAGATGTTGTCATGTTATATTTGTGTCTTTTGACCTTAATTGCCCTGCAGAGATGGATACAGTTTTCTGAATCTGAATCTTAAATTTTCTGCAGTTACCCCTCCAACTGGTCCCGAGTTGGCCAAGGAGAAGCGGAGGTCACGCAGGAGAGGAAGCTTGGATTTGTCCACGAGGAGAAATGGTATGAAACACACATAATGGAGCACTGTGGAACACATTTGATCAATTTTCCCCATTGGAAATGAATAGAAATGGAGTTAATCTATTCCAACTGTACTGAACAGCCCGGACATGCTCACGTAATGTATGTGGCAACAACAAAGTCGCATTAGGTTCCATGTCCACTTCTATGATTGTCACATTCTTCCTTGAACTCATGTTCTGGCCCGACTGATATGGATTTTTTTGAAGCTGATACCAATTCAGATATTAGGCAGAATAAAAATCAATAATCGATGAGTCTGCTTATTAATTGAAATCTATATATATTTATTATGGATACAATAACTTATTTTTTGCACCTTTAGCACTTAAAACAAATATGTTTTCTTGTCCCCGTCAAATAAACAATAAAAATGAAAAGTATGAATACTAGGCAGAACAATTGACTGTTTTCCAATACTTTTTTTGCATTAGCATTTGTTTAACTTAACAGAGAGAAAAATTGAATGATGTTTTTTTAATGGGGTTTGGAGGATTGTTTAAATGTCTTTGTCTTACGTTGCAATGTCCAGGTTATTTATCAATTGGACCCCCATTTATTTATTTTTATTATTCCGCTTGTTGACTTAATTACCACCGTGTTGTACTAAGCAACCAGGACGGAGATGTGTTGGCCAGGCCAGCCTTGAAAATGAATCTTGACTGGACTGGAAATGCGCTTCCTCCTGTCCCCAGTTGCTCAGTGGGTGGTGGTGACTCACGTGGTCAACCCCGCTCACTTCTACGTGCGCTATGCGGCCGAAAAGCGAGAGAGTGACATTCTGTCCAAGGAGGTCAACGCCTTCTGCAAACTGGACACCAGTTGCTTCTCCTCTGCCGACAACGTGCGAACTGGTGTGTTCATTTTTTTTTTTTTTAAATCAGTGATGGATGGTTGGAGTACATAGTTGCAAAGAAACATGTAACTGTTTCCTTCAAGGCTCCATGGTCTTGGCGAAAGGAAATCAGGGTCTGTGGTGCCGTACCAGTGTGCTGGAGGTCTTCCAAAATGGCTGCAACAGCAGTGTGGATGTCTGCCCGGTTGACCAAGTCAGCCGGATCTGCGTCTTCTTCATTGACTACGGCTTCACCAAAAGCTTGGCCATAGAAAGGTCAACTCATGTCGCCATACATTCATGCGGGGGTAGACAAAGTGACAACGACCCACTATGTTTCTTAACATTTGCTTCATCAAGGGACCTGTTGTATTTGTTGCATGTATTTATAATTTTTTTCTCCCAACATTGGTTAATTGTGTATTTTTTACAGGAACGAAATATGAATTCATTATCAAAGTTTTAATATTGAAAAAGTAGTCAATGTTATGTGAAGATCATTTTACATTGGTAGTCGCAGTTTGAGAATCCATGTTTTAATCCAAAAAAAAATCTTAATCTTTTGTGAATATGAGCGATTTTATGTAAATTGTCATAACCTTACAGAATATAGTTTTAAGAGTATGACATTATAATATTAGCCAAATAAAGTGGCAATATTGCATGAATACAAAATTATTGTCATATTCCAGGAGTAAAGTCTTAATTTTCATTAATGAAGTCATAGTTTTGAGTAATAAGTTTTGATATGATGAAAATTAAGACGTGTGCAGTCATCATTTTACTTGTACAAAATCCTAATGTTACATGGATAGAGTTGTAAGTTTATATGGCTCATAGTTTCGTGACTCATTTTTATTAAAATGCTATAACATTTAAAATATAATGATAAAAGGTAAGAGAACAAACTAAGCGACACTTGCTCTCCCCACAACACTTCTGATGCATTGTCAGGAACCAGAAACTTGTCTGGTTTTCTTCATCACTCCCTCCCATTTTGCAGGAATGTCTTGAGCACGGCGTCCTCAGTAGACGTGGTGAACAACCACCTGAGGAAGATACACACAGAGCTGGTTCGTTTTGCTCCTCAGGCCATCCGATGTTCCCTCAAGGACCTGGTTCCCTACGACCTGGTGAGTGCGTCCATCCCGCTGATTGTTGCCCACTTAAATGTCACCCCTGACGTCAACGTAAGCATGCTTCCAGACCAGGGGCTGGAGCAAAGAGGCTCAGACGGCATTCTGCCAAGTGGTGGGTTCTGCCCTCGTGGAAATGACTTCCTTTGGTCAGGACAGAGATGCCCTGCTGGTGGACCTCAGCAAAGCTCCTGTAGGACCATCCAACGACATTCCCATCTCCATCCGGGATTATCTGGTGTTCATTGAAGTGGCCAGGTGCTGCTGCCCGAAACACTATCAGAACCACTGAGCTATATTTACAAACTGAATTCTAAGATTTGGTCCATGAAATTGCCTTCATTCCCAACAGTCGATTCTAATACGATACTAATTCTATACTGCACTATGGTATTTTTTCTTATCAAAATACAAAAACATGATCATGGTGGTGTTAAGAAGTGCTCAGCTGCTTTCACACATTCTAAATATTCTTTGTCAACATTACATTATGTCATTGGCGCCGTCAGGTTTTATTATCCGGTAAAGCCGAGCAGGAAGCAGCTCAAGTACTACCCGGCCGTCCCACCCAAACTCCACACGGAGCACAGCGCAGTGGTGACACACGTCAACAGCCCCGATGACTTCTACATTCAGCTGGTACTCTTATTTTTTTTTTTTTTTTTTTGCAGACACATTTTATAAAAATTTTACGTTTTTAAACAATTGGTTAATTGATCATCGTGGAATGAATTAATACAATTTCAAAATGAGAAGGTATTATTTTCGGATAAGAGTAACATATTTCTCTTTTTCTTTCTTGATCTCTTTTACAACTTTTCCCATTTTTGTCCAAAATATAAAAATCCAATTTGGCCGTTGAGCACAAACGTTTGCCTGCCCATGTTCTAAGTGCTCCTCGATGACACCTGTCATAGTCGAAAGTCTTTCTGAATAGCTTTTCTCTGAGCAGTAGGATTGTGACGGATATTGTCCCTGCTCTCTCTTCTTCATTCGTGTGTGTGGCCAGCAGACTGACAACATGGAGTCGTCATTGCTGAAAGCCAAGCTTCAGGAGTGCTACAACGCCAAGAGTGGAGAAGGAGAACTGCTGGTTTACTGTCCCATCATCGGACAGGCCTGTGTGGCCCGCTTTGAAGAAAACGTGTGGTACAGAGCCGAAGTCATAGGTAAGGACGCTGGCGTCCTGATGCTACCTTTTGAGTGAATAAAGTTGGAATTTCACGATCATGATGTGAACATAAAAAATTTAATTATTGGAAGATTATTATTATCGCCCTAAATGAAGACAAATAGTCTTGATAGCTTGATGAGGACGTACTTTTACATGAACAAAGTTGGACTTTCATGCAACAGTAAAGTGTAGTCTTAATATTACAAAAATTAAGTTGGAATAGTTTAACAACAATCTGTACACTTTTTAAGACTGATGAGCATGCCGTTTCTAATACTACTCCAAAAAAATTTCAGGTCATCTGGGGGACAGAAAGGTGGAGGTCCGCTGCATTGACTTTGGATTTAAGACAACAGTGTTGGTCAGCGACTTGAGGAAGATAAAGGATGAGTTCTTCTCCCTGCCGGCATTGGTGACTGTGCTTGCTTGGTGTTCAACCTCATCTGTACTGCATACTGAAACGGTCCTTGTTTGTGTGCGCGTGCGTGCATCGCGTAGGCGATCCAGTGCTGCTTGTCGGACGTGCTTCCTCTGGCTGGAGAGACATGGAGCGATGCCTGTGTGAAACGCTTCTTCAGCCTGGCTCATGACAAATTCTTCACCATGGTGGTTACAGGTGAAGTGAATTTAAGCAAGTTGTCGTATTTCCACAGGATACGGACCAAGCCCTGTCGTGAATAGTGGAAAAATGTTTGTATGTTGGTAGACAGAGATACAAGTGTTAATGTTTGTATTTAACTCCCAACAAAAATGTTTTTCCTTCCATCCATCACGTGGCTCGCAGGCTTGCTGGAGCCTATCCCAGCTGATTTTGGGCAGTAGGCGGAGTACCCCCTCAACTGGTTGCCAGCCAGTTGCAGGGCACAAAAATGTTCATAATTGTCTAAATGATCATTTCTAACTCATCTTACATTAGCTACGAAAAAAATAGAAAGTGTTGGGCAACAGCGAGGATAGCGAATAGGTGGGGTTTTATTGTACTCTGCTTCAACTCGTGAACGACTTAGCTCACTTGATTGTTCTCCAAACAGAAAAATCCCCAAAGACAAAACCTCTACCCATCAAGCTGCTTGAGAGCAATCCAACTGACCTACCCACTGACATAGCCGAGGTGCTAATTAAAGAGCAGTTGGTGTGCTCCAAAAATGGGTATAATCCGGTTATTTTCTTTACGAACTATATTCAGAAATTGTGAAAAAAAAATTTCTCCCCCCATTGACTTCTATTACCTCGCTTGCCAAAGGCTTAAGACCAACATGGCAGAGGTCCCCGCCAATGACGGCGCCATATGGGACCCGCCGCTCGACCTGAGTGGTCTCGAGCCTTTGGACCCTACCGGCACAGCGGTGGAGTTCCAGCCTCGGCTCAGCCTCCCCGGCAGCCTCAAGGATGCCAAAGTGCGAGTGAGCCACATCACCTCACCTAGCAGCTTCTACATCCAGTTCATCCAAAACGACTCTCAACTTAAAAGGTAGATAGTTGGCGAGGTAGCTACATCAGCCATTTGGCACATACATACGTAGTGGTAGGGTCACTTTTTGTTGGGCAGAATTTGCGACACAGTCATTTGCTAGTTGAATTGCTGCTCTGTATTAAATATATTCTAGGTTGAAAGAGCTTCTGAATGAGGAATGTGAGCTCTTGGAGCCTCAGGACGTGGCATGGGAGCCAGACATGTTCTGCGCGGCTCACGTCAACCAAGTTTGGGAAAGAGGACTGATCTGTTCCAAGGTCTCGTCCGCTGACATCGCAGAGGTGTTCCGTCGTAGCTCGAAACTTTTCACTTATGCTAATTTCAGTGAACAGATCAGTGACTTGGTCTGCCCGGCAACAGGTGATGCGCTGTGACCACGGCAACAAGGTGAAGCTGCACGTGAGCAACCTGCGGCCACTGTCGGCTTCATTGGAGGGTTCTTTTGCTCTGGAGTGCTCGTTGACGGACATCAAGTAACACACACACACACACACACACACACATTTTCAGTGGTTCTCGAATTAATACATAAAAACAGTAAATTATTACGCTGTATCATTTTAAAAAATGTAACCTTTGTATGGGGACTGGCGTGTGGATGAAACCATTTACTCCTCCCTTCCTTAGATTTTGGCTAATTAACTGATCTGATGTGATCTTGACCCAAGAGGTTTGAGAGCTTATTTTTTCTCAATGTTTTTTTTTTTTTTTTTGTAACAGGCCAGCAGGGGGCCAACCCACCTGGACCGCCACAGCCTGCGACTTCATGCGTGACTACCTGTCAGGAGCCTCGGCTGTTGTCACCGTCCACGTTCGTCCCTTTACACCTTTAAGTTCTGCTCCTGTGGCCCGGGTTCTAACGTATTCTGCCATTGCCAGGAGATGACAGATGAGCGGCCGGTAGCCGTCACTCTGATGTGTACCCACAAGATGGGAGAGTTGGTCAGCATCTCGGACCATCTGGCCTGTAAAGGTCTCGCCCTCAGGGAGAGGAAGCCAGTGTGCGTCTCTCTTCAAACACATGCACACTTGTTACAGCAAACTCACAATGTGAATGCAATTTAGAACCAATTATACTTTGTTTTACCTTTCAGGTTAGAGAGATACGTGGAGGATTTGGCTTTCAAAGAAAGGTTTCAAGACTTACAACCCTAAGGGTGTTGAACTTGGTGGCATCCACTTTACTGAACCAATAAGCTCTGTTGTCTCGCAGCGAAATGGCCGTTCCTCCTGAAAAGCCAAGAGATCCTCAGTCTTCTGATACCAACATACAAGCTGAGACTCCTAAATGCACGGCTGCTCCTTTGCCAGCATGCCCCTCAACACCTCCCCCCCCCAGGCCCACCCCTCGCTCAGCCAGGCCCACTGAGAAGGTCCTCAAACCCCAACCGCCAACCTCGGTTAACATGACGCATGGAAGTGAATGCTGTTTGTTTTGTATGCAGGTGAAAACTGATATGTACAAACCACCAGAGCTTCCACAGCTGGGCCACAACCGCATGACCATTTCTGCCATCAGAGAGGACGGACTCATCTACGCCAGAACTGACACTGCAGGTCACACAAACAGTTTACTCTGTGAGACTTTCAAGGACCCCTAGATTCACTGTTGGTCGGTTGTTTTGTGTTGTCTTTAGGGTGTCATTTGGAGCAGCTGAGGGACAAGATCCAGCAGAGCATGAAGACGCTGCCCAATCAGAAGCCGTACACCTGGAAGACCGTACAGGGATGCGCCGTCATTGGGCCCGACATGCTGTGGTACCGGGGCCAGCTGCTGGAGGTCCAAGGGGGGCACGTCAAGGTGGGATTGTGTGTTGGCTCCCCCTGCTGGCCTTGAAACACTCTGGAATACTAATTTGGTTCAAACTGGACTGACTAACAACTGATCGTTGGTCAGTTTCACAGACTGGTTCTGAGTCAGTTTGACCTGCTTGTATCATGTCTCATTTGTGTATTGAATTAGTTTCCAGGGCCTTTACTGATCACATTATTTAATATAACCCAGATAGCTTTAGTGTTGTAATTATTTTTGAATAGTTTAGTCTATTTCTTACACATCCTTAAAATACTAATTTACTTGTTTGGGCCAGCATGAGTGAACTTTGTGTTGCCCAACACAGTCATATAATGACACCGAGCCGCTGGGTTGACGATGAAAAATACATCATGGTGGTTTCAGGTCCAGTATGTGGACTATGGCCAGGTGGAGAACATTCCGGTGGTCCACGTGTACCCCTGCCTACTGTGCGAGGACATACCTCAACTTTGCATGGCCTGTCAGCTCTACGCCATCAAGCCTGTGAGACTTAAGATTCTGTACACATGGCACCATTGCAATACTGCAGATGACAGAGTGGTGGCGTTCTTGTCCTCAGGTTGGCGACAGTTGGCATCAGGATGCCGTGGAGCTTCTCAATGAGATGCTCTTGCATCGCCGTGTGGACGTCAGCGTCCTGGTATACGCGCACACACTCACACGAGCGCACAAAGGTATGTGCTGAATGTGTGTGTGTGTGTGTGTGTGTGTGTGTGTGTGTGTGTGTGTGTGTGTGTGTGTGCGCGCGCGCGCGCACGTGCGTGTGAGGACGTTAGAAGCTGCCAACAGACCTCAGGCGTCCACTCACAGTTGAAATCTTCTTGGATGGACTGAGCCTCAACACCATCTTGTGTCAGCACAAACACGCCCTGATGGACTGGACCGCACCACCGGTGGGTGTGCCAAAATATTTTTTTTCCATGGAAACTCATTTTGATGCTGAAATGTTTTTTGTGTGGCCTAATATGGCCTTTTCCCTCGATAAGACAACGTTTTAGTGGCAGAATCGACATTTTCAAATTTTAATGTCGCTCTTTTGTTATTAAATATAGGGTATTATTTTTCACATTTTTTACAGCAAAATGTAAGGACACTGGGCCATTTGTGATCAAATGACTACTTTCCTCACTAAATAGATGACTTGTGACTGTATGTAGTGTTTTGGGGCAATCTTGGAACATTTTTTTTTTTGCTGCCAAAGGCAGATTTTTGGGGTATCATTTTAAATGGCTAAATATCACATGGGAAGCCGACCATTTCGGGCAAAAATCGACCATTTATTGGCAAACTTGAACACATCAAGTCAAAGTCTTTTTGATCCCTGATAAAAAACATTTTATCAACAAAATATTAAAGTAACACTCTCGTGGGAATAAATCACTTCCTATTTGAGCACCATTTTAATGGCTATTTAAAGCCTTATTTCAGGTTTTATGACACAAGTTTTTAATTGCAAAATATCACATTTACAAAACTGAAATGGCAAACTAGCACCTTTTCCTGATCAAATAGTTTTTGAGGCAATTCATTATTTTATTCAATTTTTTTATTCTTCAGGCACCTCCTCTGCCTCCTGACTCCATTTTGGACATCTGGGACATCGACACAGAGGTACTTTGACTGCTTATGTTGTGATCAGTGATTCTCAAAGTGTGGTTTCTCAGGCTCCTACAGGTGGTACGCCAATGAATCACTCGATTTGCATCGAATCTCAAGTTTTTTCTTTTGTATGTCGATTTGAATTTTTTTCACAAAAAAATTGGACTTCATTCTTCCTAAATTCTTTTTTTTTTTTTTCTTGCAATTTTACACTTTTCCAATCACAACCTCTGTCCGGTTTTGAAGAATTATTTTGGCTTACTACACTTTCAGTGTTGGTTGTGAACGAGGTACTTATTTTTGGGGTGATACTTGGTCTCAAAAGTTTGAGTGTCGTTGCTGTGCGTGTTGAGGGTCTGCTGGGCCCCCAGGAGGTGATGTTGGGGCCCTTCTCTGAGCCCGGCCTGCCCGAGGACGGTCAGCGCCTGAATGTCCGCGTGAGGCACCTGCAGACTCCCAATGAGGTAATCATGGCAAAAGCCTGACACTTACCGGCACGTATTCAGAAACTTCGTCATGACGTCACATGTCGCAGTTGTTCCTGTGGTGGGAGGACATGGCCCAGGAAACGGTGGACGGGGAAACTCTGGACCAGTGCATGTCACAGATCAACGCTGATGTTCCCAGTCTGCTGCCACTCACCAACTTCCCTCATGGTAATACAAAAGAAAAGGCTCAGCAACCCTAAGCCTACTTTGAAACCCTATCCTGAAAACCTGAGGTCACACATTCTGATGTCATCATGACGCCATGCTACAGTTTGAATTTGTGACCCTCCTTTGAAACTGTAACCCTCTTTCGTGTCCTTGCATTATTAGTGTTATAGCTGTGAATGTTTTGTGCCAATATAGCATTTTTAGGAATGATTAGCTCCATGGTTTTAGTGGCAAAATGAAATATGATAATTTTTGTGGTTGTCAGGCGGTCCGTGTCTGGCGGAGTACATCGATGGCAACTTCTACCGCGCCAAGATGCTGAAGATCATCAGCGCCGATCCCGTCCAGATCCTCATCCAACACGTGGACTTCGGCTCCAATGACACCGTGCCCACCAACAGGTACAAACGCATCGCGACGTTCTTCTCAACCGACGGTGGGCTCAGCGAATTTTTATGTTTCCCTCCAGGTTGCGACAGATGCCGGCCAAGCTGCTGCGCTTCCCTGTGCAGGCGCTGAAGGTGCGCGTGGCGGGCCTCAAGGCTCCCAGCACCAGCACGGAGGACCAGGTGCTGCCCTACAGCCCGCAGTGGACTGTCAAGGCCACGCTGGCCATGATCGACCTGCTGCTCGGAGACCTAACCGCCGTGTTTCAGGTAGGACATTTACAATTTGATGACAAGAAATGTGCACGTTTACAAAAACAATTTAGTAGTTTTAACGTGAAGAAACATGCAATTTGACGAAGATCCGACCATTTAATCGGCCAGATGATTCAATTGGCCGCTATTAGCTGCTTCTTTTTTTTTTTTTTTTTTTTTTTGCACTTTACAGCTTAAGACAAAGATAATAGCATTCAAACACCACTCCTCCATTAATCAGCTGATTAATCAGTTATTGGTATTTTATTCTGCCAAATGTATTTATATCCATAATACCACTCTCTGCGTCAAAATGCTATCAGTTGGATCCTAAATTTAACACAAATAAACAATTTTGCATGGAGTCTTCATTTTAGGGGATTTCAACGGGTATGTTGATTTTTTTTTTTAAAAAAAATTTCCCCATCCTGGAGCCCAATGCAGAGTGTTATAATTGTGTCGTGCTTTATAAGAAACTGCTAAGTGTCTCCTTGTCCGTTCATCCAGTGTGGGGACGCGTCCGCTGAGCCGTCCGTGTCGCTCTACAACCAGGAGGGAGAATTTGTCTTTTTGCCTCTGCTGGCCAGCGGCTTGGCCCAACATGACTGAAGGTCCATTTCACACGGTTTGTTTTGTTTTACCTTCAAGTTGCATTCACCAAGGGAAAAAGTTGTTTGACTCTGCCTTTTTTTTCCCATGGTCTTAAGAGTCCATTTAAGTTGCCACTTCGTTTAAATGGCAAAGACTTACCAAAGTCATTAAAGTGTGTTGTGCTTCATTGCATTGGGCTTTCGTGTTTACGCCAAACACGTGTGGGTGATTCATTTTTATTAGTTCTTTAAATAAAAAAATATATACAAATGTACAGATATTGTGGAAAAAAAAAGCTTCCTTTTTTTGACCATTTAAGAGTCACAGATAAGAGAAGAAGTCAACGTTGTGCTTAGGGAACATTTTAAAGTGAAAAATAGTGAGCGATGGGGGTGTAAAAGAAGTGGACACTTTGTCACTTTTGACCATAACGTTAGCACCTTTTTAAAAGCAATACTGTATTAACACATTAAGTGGTCCAGGTAAAAGCCACTCAGGAATGAGCTTGTGCATTACGTGAATAAAATTTATAATGAAGAAATTACAAAAAGAGTTGTAATATTTTAAATGTAAATCTGCTCCAAAAAAATTAATTCCATTGATAAATAAGTTGACACAAATATTGACATTTGTTAAGTTTACAAAAAATATACATGTATAATATTGCAAAATTTTTGAAGGACTTTTATTCTAAACATTTGAACGTTTTTCTTGTAGTAGCAGGGGATCATTCTTCAACATTACAACATAGTGCTAACTTTTAACATTTTTTTTCTTATCAGTGTGGCTGTAACGCTCCAAAGTGGAGTTCCAAACTGGAAAAAATAAATAGAAAAGGCTCCCTGTGTTTGGTGGCGCTCTAGAACAGTACGTGTGGCGTGTCTACTGCCGCTCGTCCGTCAGCACGTTTCCGTGTTTGTCTTTGACGCGCAGCCGTCCTCCAGGATATCGCGTCTCCTGCCGTCCGTCGGCGTAGACAGTCTTGACCGTGCCGTCGGGGTACTCTCGCCTCTTGTAGTCAGCCGTGTGCACCTCCTTCTGTCCCGTGTTGAAATGGATCTCCTTGGTGCCGTCTCTGTTGGCCACCAAGATGCCATTAGTGGCTTGAGCGCACGCTTTGCCAATTTTCAATACGTTTGAAAATGTACGGGAATGGAAAAGGTTAACATTTTACATTCATTAAAGTCAGCATTTTGCGGGAATGAAGTTATTTTATACGAAACTATAGAAATACATTTTCCATGTAATTTTGTGATAATTGTCAGGACTTTAACGAATAGAATTCTGATTTATGAGAGTAAACTAAAATTTGGCGGGAAATGAAATCAATTGTACACTAATAAATTTAGTGGGAATGAAATCTAATTTGTCTTTTTCTAATGGGTTATAATGTCATTTTTAAAAATTACAATTTTCTGAAAAATAATTCATTTTGTTGGGCAAATGTGCTCGTACGTACGTTTTGATTTGCACGACTGTTCCGTCAGTCATGACGCTCTCCTCGCTGCCGTCTGGGAAAAGGGTCTTCACCGTCTGGTCTGCAAATGTGATTTCTTTACGGCCATCTGGGAAGTGTTTCTCTACAAACACAAAATGGATGCCGCCTTGATCATAGATCTGAGACAAAATATCCGTATAGGATGGACCCGATATTATTGGAAACTGTATCATGCCTTACTAAGGAATATGATACTGCAATACATCTGATTGATATCCCCCCAAATGTATAATTTGAGAAAAAAAATACCTGTAAAATGTTTGCAATGAATATGAATGGTTGATGTCTGACCTATCTGATTGTTGGGGAAGTGCAGGACCTCCATACCATCCGGGTATGTGATGTGCGTCGTCCTGGTGTCGGCATAGTAGTACAACTAGGGACCAGAGGAGAACTATTTAAGAGCTAAAAATAGAAATAGACGGGAGGCGTGCAGTGGGCTGCACTCACCACCCTGTGGTCGGCCGTGACTTCTTTCGTGTCACCATTGAAGAAATTTACTTTGACTGTCGTGCCGTCACACGACACCTGTTTTGTGGTGCCGTTGGGATAGACGATGACACGATCGCCACCCGCCAGGACCTTCTCCACCTGGAACGCACGCAGCCATCTTGCAGTCAGCCGATTTTGCTTTCGGTTTTACAAATCCTAACGGAGTCATGAATAATTCATATTTGGTGTGAGCCCATTACCTTGCCATCAGGATGCGTGATGACTTCCTCTAAAGGTTTAGTCTCACTTCTGTCTGCTTCATTGGACTCCCACACCATCTGATGAATTGATTAGAACGGATGAACATTTGTGTGATTATTAGCTTTAAGTCTACAAATCAAAGAAAACTGAGAATTGTTATAGGATGGTCAGGATGGCATCTCTGACCGGCGAGTAGCTCTCAGAGTCTTGTTCATTGGGAGAGTTCTTTTTGGCAGCCATTTGCTTTTCCTCTGACACTTCTCTTGGGGATAAGGAAGAGGAGGACTCAGTTGTTTTTTTCAGGCTGCTCTTCATCCCTACACATACAAGTATGTCGGTTTATCTTTTCCCCAAAGCACACCAGCCTTACACTTTTTTTGTACACTTGGAATCTCACACAATTATTATCTGATCATCTGAATGCTTTGAAGATGTTTTCACCTTTACTTGCTTGTGCAGTGGAGTTGCCTCTAGGGAGCGCTGCAGCGCTGCCATGTGGAGGGCTGACACTCCTCGAGTCCAGAGGATTCTGAAGGTGTGGGGAAAAAAAATGTGTGATTTAGTTGACGAATAGTAATGTTTAGTAATGATCATCGTACTCACAGCGAATGTGACTCCTTTGCTAACAGAAGGCCCGTGTCTGACGTCTTTTTCTGTGGCTACAGAGTTCTTCAAGGCACTCAGACGAAGTTTTTCCAGCATGCGCACCTCATGTGATAAGATGGAGGAGCACTTTTAAAGAGACAGGTTAAAAAAAAAAAGAGAGACTTTCATGTGCTTTGGTCTGGCATTCACCTCGTCTCTCAGCTCGTTGTTCTCCTGGCCGAGCGAGTCGATCTGCTGGCGGAGGCGACCGTGAGTGGCGGACCAGCGACTCTCCTTCTTCCTCAGATCCTCTTGTAGGGAGCTCAGCTGCTGCTTCAGAGCCTCGAGGCAGGAAATGACATCACGTTCATTTTATTGGGACGCGAACACTTTGGTGTTGAGTGGTTAGGTTGTGTGTACCTGTATCTCCTCGCGTTCCTTTTTGTCAGGCACAGCTCGGGCAGCCGAGGCATGTTTCTCAAAGACTTTGCGTTCGCGCTGCAGCTTCCCCGTTTCTTCCCTCTTGTACTCCTCAAATCGAGCCAGCTGCTCAGCTCGCTCCTGCTCCCACGCCAGCCGCTCCTTCCTGGAGAAGCCGGCATGTTAATACAGCCACAAGGACAGTGGGGTGGTGGTGGTGGAGAGGGGGGTCTGCATCTTCCATAACCTGAGGTTCTCCTGGTTCTCTTCGTTCTCCTGTCGAAGCTTGGCCAATGCTGCGTTCTCCTTCTTGAAACGCTCAATCTCGATCTCCAGCTCCACCAGTCGCTCCCTCAACTGTGTGGACTGGACCTGCTGCTCTGTTCGAGCAGAAAACATATCCATTTTCTTTTGTGTTTGTTCTCACAGGAATTACGGTGAGCTGGAGCCAATTTTAAAACCACTAATATCTGACGATTAAATTAGCCAGCAGAGTAATCGGCCAGGCGCTAATTAAGATCCAACAAAAATGGCAAAATCAAAAAATGATCAGTGGGATTTACATTTTAGCTTTACATTGCTGGCAAATGTGCAATCTGGATTCTCTGATTACATTTAATTTCAACGTCTCACCTGGCTTGTTGTCCGTCTTGTCAGGTGGGGAGGTTGAGGTGATGTCAGGCAGAGGAAGAGGTGCATTTTGGGTCTTTGGCTTGAGCGCAGGGAACAGTTTCATCATGAGTTTGGAGTTTGGAGGAGGAGGCAGCGTAGGGGCAACATCTGACGCTTGATTGGCCGCTTCTGTGTCAACGGGTTCGATGCTGACCGCTGTATCGTCCGTCTCGTTCCACGTGGTGTCGTCATCAAACACAACTTGACCCGGTGTCGCATCTTTGTCGTCCTCCAGTGTGGAAGAGTTGTCATCTTCGTCGTCGCCAATACTGCTGAGCACGTCTTCGCTCTCGCCGTTGTCATCCTGGTAGGAGCGCTTGTCGTACGGCGGCTCCGACGGGACGGGGTAGCATACGCTGCTGGGAAAACCCGACGGGTCAACGACCCGTTCGCTCTCTTTAGCGTCGTTGTTGGCCTCTGATGAGGACTCCTCCTCATCATGGCCTTTCACGGCGCCACCGTTAATTTCGGGACTCCGCCGCTGCTCTTTGGCTGGTGGCAGCTTGATGGGTGTTGATGAGAGTCGTCTCTGGTGGAGCCCAGCCACACCCAACAGCTTCCGCTTCTCACGGTCCATCTGCAGAATCTACAGATCCCCAAAAAAAACAAAACATGTCATTGTACTGCACGGTCATGGTCTGAAAACATGTCTGGTAAAAAAAAAAAAAAAAAAAAAGCAAATCTCGATGCCTGTGAAGGCTGAAATTGGATCTCACTTTCACTTTAAGTGAAAACAGGCACAAGAGTACACAAGGAACCATCTTCAAACTCAACATCGAGTAGCTCCTTTATGTGGCAAGGAACCATCTTTTACCACTTAATTTAAAAAGGGAAGCCAGAGTATCTCGTCACATGCAAATTGGTCACCTTGGACTCCAGTTTCGGACTTTACAAGCCAGGAACCCTTATTTAGTCCCTTCAGTCAAAATGGCCAACAGTGCTACTTTTATGGTCAAGAACCACATTTGATTACTTCAAATTCAAGTCAAAATGAAAGCGAGCCTGCCAGGCGTCTGGGATCGTTGTCACCTTGCTGACGAAAGAGGAGTTGGATGAGAAGGAGAGCTCGTCCGCCGCTTGCTCCAGTAGCTCAAACTCTCCCAGCTCCATGCTCTCCAGATGGCGTTCGCACTCCCAACGGCGCAGCTTCTCCACCAAGGATGTCTCGGGTGATTCTTGCAGCACGTTGGGCAACAGTGCCCGCGCGTCTGCCTGCTTCGTTGCGGTTTTACTTTCCTCCGCTTGTTTGTTAGTCCTCACTTCCCCACCTGTGTTTTGTCTCTGGTGGCATCCCAACACTTTGGTCCGCGTTGCTTTCATCTCAACCCTGACGTCTCTTCTGTCCCTTTCGTCTCTAGGACGGTTCTCCTTGTTCATGGTGGCGGTTTTGCGCTGGACGGGAAGTCGCTGCGCCACCCCGTTCTCCGAGGTGGTGCGGGTGACGACTCTGGCCTGGCTTGATGGTTTGAGATCTCCGTTTAAGTCCTCTTTGGGAAGAGAAGACTTCCTGGTAAATCGAGACAAGCCCTCGCCTCGCCTCAGAAATGCCCGTTTAGGGGGCGCCGCTGACTGCTCTCCATCTGGATTCTGCTAACAGAATGAAACTTTTCCATTTCTGGCCCAAAAGTTGCATCACAATTTTCCTCTTTGTTGTATCTCAGATAGACTCTCTCTTTTTTCTTCTTCTTCTAAACATGGACACTTGTAGGGTTGTCTGACCTGCTGTTGCTGGGCAGATTTCAACCTCTGCTCTTCCAATCTCAGCTGCTCCTCTAGCATCTCTTCAAATGTTTGCTTGCCTGCCTGGATTGGTCTGTAAAGACACACACACACACACAAATAACACAAACACAAGAACATTTGCATATGTTTGTGTCAATTCAATGAGTTTTCACGCAGTTTAGCAATTTAAGTTCTCCCGCTTTTCAAGACTTTACGCTACGTAATAATGATGCATTCATGAGGAAAATTCATATATTCAACTATGACTAGGACAGAGATGTTATGGGCAACGAATAAGGAAAATGACTGTCCATCACCTCACCTGTCTCGTATCATTCGGTCATCTTTTCTTTTGTTGTCGTGAGTGTTGTGGTTATTGGTATTTGCTCTTGGTGTGGGAAAACCATCACGTTTTGGGCCTGCGAGACCCACACAAAAATATATTAAGATGTTGATGTCACTTTTTGTACAGTGAAGCCCCCCGTTTTTTTTTTTTTTTTTTTAAATCTGCATTATAGTGGGGGCACAAACGATGGAGCGACAAGGAACACTGTCCAACAAGAAACCACTCACCATCTTCCTCATCATGCCTTTCAGTGCTATTTTGACAGTTTTCTAGCGCTTCCTCTTCTTGGTGCCGGTGCTTTTGGGCTCCCTGGGGATGATTGGAGTGGTTGTGTCCAGGACTGGAGGCTCCCGTAGCCCTCTGCTGCTGCTGCTGCTCCTGGAGGCAAAGGAGCTGGTCCAGCTGGTCAACTTTCAGCTGCTCCTGCAAGTGCTGCTGCCACCTCCTCAGCTGCGCGAGGAAATGCAGAATATCTTATGTAAGGGTTTTGCGGCATTCAAAAAAAAAAAAACACTGACATAATCCTGCGATTGTCTGGCAACCATTTCAACCAATATATATTCCACATAACTTCAACAGAACTTTTCTGACCTGATTTGAGGCGTTTCAGGGATACAGTAGTAGTGCTTTGTCGCCATTGTAAGCATCGATAGACAATTCTAAACCTTGAAAGGGAGGGCGGCAATTCCCTGCATAGATTTTTGCTTTTGGCCCATTCAGAGATCAAACACTTGCACTTATTAACTTATTATGACTACCTGATCCAGCTTCATCGTAATGGAAACTTCCTGGGAGCTGTTGGGCGTCTCCTCCAGCCTGCCCGCCTCACTGTATCTTCCAGGTGCCCCGGAGAGGCTCTCAACATCTAGGCAGCTGCTGTCCACTGAGGTGGCAATGGGAGCAAAGTCCTCGGGCTCTGAGGGCATAGCAGCTCCCGGGGAGTCATACCGCAGAGAGCCAGGGTCCAGAATCACACCGGCCCTGGTGCTGCTTGGCATCCAGCGGGCCAAAAAGTCCGACGAAGAGTGCGGAAGCCCGGGGAGGGGAGAGGACATGATGCCGCCACTCTGTTCTTGGCTGTTCTTAATCCAGGCTTTGAGCAACAGTTAATGGTGACAGGTTAGGATTGTGGCTAATCACGCTTTGTTTTCACATGATTTCCATGTCAAGAGGAACGTACTATTGGCAACGCTTACGAGACTATTTAAAATTAGCATCACTTGTTGGAGATATTGATAGCAGTGACAGGCTTATGCATTTGGCAACTTGGCCTTCAGTGGAGCCTTAAACCATGCCACGAGGGTTTTTAATAACCACCACTCAACATGCAACTGTGCCCCATACATCATCTGGAGCAGCTCAGAAGCAATATCTTTGTAATAACATAGCATAACCCTTTTAAATAAAAGGCCTCCGACTGAGTAGAGAATCTGATTGTTGCATGGATTAACGTGTGTAGATCGCTACAGGAGTGTTTGGGTGGTAGTTTGGCTCTGGCCAACCAATCAGAGATTGCAAAAACTTCGACATCATCATGAAATTTGATTGGTTAGAGAAACCAGCCAGCACTACTGATTCTGAAGGCTCTGGGCAGATTTCATTAACACGAGAGACTAAAGTCGGATTGGACATTAAAACATCCACACGTACTGAAAGCAATGCAACCACGAAACACGCTCAGAAATAAAGAGAATATACTCTTGGGTATTAATTTAAACAATTGCAAGAAGCAAATTTTAGAATCGGGGTTGTTCCTCGGTGTTTTCCTCAGCTGGTCATTACGATCCACTGTCAATAGGGTAAACGTTTCCCGGGCCAAATGAACCTTCTACGCTGCCTAAAGCGTGAATCCTGACAGCCGTTTTGAGAATCGCAAAAATAAAAGAGAAAGGGAGCAGGGGCGCCAACAACTTCACGGAAAAAACCGATCGGCCACTTAAAAGTGGATACAAACACACGCAAGCATTGGCGAGAATTACCTTCAGCGCAAACAAGTAGAGTGAGGCAACGGCGTTTAACACAGATGTTTAAAACTCCACCACCATCCTAAAAGGGGAACTTTACAAACTTGCCGCCATATCAAAACAAAGCCCGCGACAGTGACGTAAGTGCAAACAGCGGCGGATTACTCCGATGCGATTGTAAGGTCAGCGTCACCGGCTGGCTGGAGGGTGAAGTGCATGATCGAGGAATAATAATTTAATTATACACAAAATCAGATCTATTGTTAGAGTTGGAGTGTCGAGTTGTTAAGATTTATTACTTAACCAAGATAAACAGATAAAGAGAGCAGATATCAAATTTAGTCCTCACTTTTTCTTCTTAAAAAGAAAAAAAAATAGAAGCGGACTTGAACGTCAGTGGCTCCTGGTAAACTACATCCGGCCTCATAATTCACAATAAAGCCCTCGTTTTTACAAATACTTTTATTCACCGAAGTATCACCAGTAAATACACATTTTAAGTGACAAATATTAAATTGCTACTTTGTCTTTTGTGGATATCTTGCAAAGTCTTCGACATATGTGATGACATTTGGAATATTACTTTTATCATGACACGCTTACATCGAACATCCCTTTTGGCGAAGACTGATTGGTCGATGCAAAATGGCCACATGACACGAATATGAGAAGTTTCATTTCCAAGCGCGTTTCGAGACGTTAGTCAATTATGGACAAAGTTACATGTGATGTCCACGGTAAGGCGTTAAACTACATATCATTCAGGAAATAATTCGTGTTTTTGGCTATTCGACATGGGTACATCTTTCTTTAATTCACAATTACGCTTTGTGTTGTCTTTCAGGTGGGCTATGTATGCTAAAGACAGGCGTGAAAGATGGCCCAAGCAAAGGCAAAAGCTTTTACGTGTGTGTGGACAAGCGTGGCTGTAACTTCAGCAGTGTGGCCAGGTCTGATTGGTGTTTCTCTTCAATATTTTTTTACATTGAATTGAAGTTGCTATTCATCATCCATCCCCCTTCCCACTCAGCATCTCGGCCTCTCGCTGCCTCCAGCATGAAGATTCCATCGTGGAGCTCCAGGCGTTGATGTACAGCCAGCAGGAAGAGTGCGACAGGTGGGTGGCTATCGAACTAAAGGTCCTGGTTTGTTTCTGCGTGGGCATTATGTGCGACCCAAAGAACATGGAAAGTCATCAGTCGTAACCACTATTCCTGCATATGCCTTGTTGTCTGAAGAAATTATAGACGAACGAGGGGATAATCAAAGTGTCCTTTAATCACTTTTACGTTTTTCTTTATTCATTCCCTTCAATATGTTTCAGAGTCTGTTCTTTTTTTTTTTTTTTTTTTTACTTAAAGAGGTTGAATCAGGACTTTTAGTAATCTTCCTTTCCACAAAAAATGTGCACGTCTACTAAAGTACACAGTGTAAGTACCTTGGTAGACTCTGTCTCGATTAGCATTCAGATATGACATTATGCTGTGTATTTTTTTTTTTTCTGCCTCAGGTTGTTCTACAGGTGCGTTGAGGGTAAAAAAGCCGGACAGCGATGGTGTGGAAATGTGCCCTGGGCTATGGTAAGACTACATTTGACATTTACTCTAACATGGAGAATAGGAAAAAAAACAAAACTACAAATAATGCATTGAGTAAAAATAAAATCCACTGCGTGCTGGATCACATGTGCATTCTCTATGTACATGTTGTGACAAGTAGTCAAGTCAAGTACAACTTTATTGTGCAACACACAGCATAGATGAAATTTCTTCCCTCACAAGACAACATAAAACAAGAGGAGCCGCTGCGGGTGTCCGCGCCGCCATCAAAAGAAAAGTTAACATAAAACGAAAAAATAATACAAGACAACACATTAGACACAGACAATCGTGCAATCTTAACCACTTTCCTGCATACACTTTGTTGTCTGAAGCAGTTTTGATGAAAGAGGAGCGAATCAAAGACATCATGCTGCAATGTGCACACGTCTGCTACAAGCTAAGCTTGAAAGCAACAAGAAGCTGTAGCATCCATTAATGAAAAAGAGAGATTGGCTCTCTTCTCCTGTCCCATGTAAATCCGCTTCAATTCCAAGCCACGACTCCCAGCTCCACATACACATCGGCGCTCCTTTCTTCTCATCGTCGGCTCCTCAAGCCATGCATCCATCCAGCCGCAGACTGTCCATCAGCACCGACCTTTCCGATGAACAAAGCGGGGCTGTGAAAATGCTGCCTATTTCAGGCGCAAGACACAAGCGCCCCGGGGCTGTCCAGCAATGTCAGTCAAATGGCGCCAACATTCCTCCCAATCAAAATCGGTGCTGGTACACGCGTGCCGCCAAGCAGGCGCAACCACCAAGCACAGATTCTTCTTCTTGACGAATGTCGTTGCCAAAAATGCTGAAAACAGTCCACATCAGGTCCACACGACATAACAACACCATGTGACAAAACAAAAGACAAAAACAACAAAAAAAATGCAAGGCTCTTGAAGAGCACTTGCCGACGGCTGCCGACTCAGGCGCCATCTTGGTATTGGTATACAAATATTGTATACATCCAACAAAAAGTATGGAAAACAATGCTTGCAAGTGATAACTGTTGTCAATGCTTGTCATCATTTTACAGCCGGAGAAGGATGAGAATAAGTGTAAAAAATCGGCACAACCTTCCTGTCTGCCACCAGTGCGAAACCCCTTCAAGGCTCCGGAAAAACTGGGCCAAGAATCACAGTGGAGGAGGATGCAAAGAGAGAGTGAGAGCAAAGACAACATGGAGACAAAAAGTAGAGCAGAAGAAGGTGAGGGGGAAGGTCGGCCAGTCACACCTGAAACATATAGAGGACAACATCTTCCAGCAGGGATGAAGCTGAAGAAGAAATCTGTGGATAAAACACATCCACCAAGCAAAAGTGACATGCCCACTTCTGGAGTTTCCATGTCTGTGCCCAAAAGTGACATGACCACCTCCAAAGGTTCTGTAACAGCAACAAACATCTCTATATCTGTGCCCAAAAGTGACATGGCCACCTCCAAAGGTTCTGTTGAAACAGCGAGTGTCTCCACTTGTAAACTTAAAAACAAAATGGCCACCTCTGGAGTCTCTATGTTCACGCAGAAAAGCGATAATGCTGCCTCTGGCGTTTCCTTGTGTATGCCCAAAAGCAACATGACCACCTCCAACGTCTCTCCGTCTGTGACCAAAAGCAACACAAACACCTCCATCGCTGCCACGGCTGTACCCAAAAGCGAAATGCCCACCTCCGGTGTCTCCATGTCTGCACCCAAAAATGAAACGGTCTCCTTCAGAGGTCCAGCAGTAACCGAGCGGAGCTCTCCATCTGTACCCAATACCAACATGGCCACCTCCAAAGGTTCCATTCCAATGTCAGTTGCCTCCACGACTGTGCCCCAAAGTGAAATGGTCGCCTTTGGAGGTTCCTCCACGCCAAGCATCTCTTCGTCTCCGCCCAAAAGCGAAATGGTTGCCTCCGGAGGGTCTGACAACAGTGCAGGGCAGTGGAGACCCCGTCAAAGCAAACACTGCCAAGATGATGATGACGAAGACTTTGCGCTGGTGTCTGTCAAGCCCCCTCAAAAGCCCCACCGGACCCTCACCTCCACCGCCATCCAGAAGCCTCTGACTTCCTACTCCGCCTTTCAGCCGGCCTCCCATGTGATGCACAAGATGCTGTCCACTCAGCTCCAGCAGAAAAAGGTGAGCCCCGTACTGCCTGCAACGCTGCCAGTTACCTTGAAAAAGTAACTTTGTGACTTCATTGATTACTTGCTTGTTAGAATAACTTTACTGTTTACTTGATTTTCTGAGTGACTACGTTAAATTCCAAATGACTTGAATAGTTTGCATAAATGCGATATCTATTTACGATTATAGTTTAGTATAAAAATGGCACCTGGTTTTGCCACTGAATTGCAAGTACATTTTTAACAGTGACATTTGAGAATAACATTTCTTTTTATTAAAAATAGACACCCTTTATGTTGAAACAAAATGACTTCAATTTTTAAAAAATGATGAGTCGTTAATGAATGTCACTTACATTAATGGGTTACTAGTTTTTTATTCGTACATTTCTTTCTAGACTTATAACACATTTTAAATAAAATATCAAATAAAGGGGGAATTCCAGCTTGATCGGTAGAGCACAGGTGCATACTATAGATACGCTATGTTGGCATTATGATTAACCCAATCTCTTGCCAATAATTCCTGATCACCGCCACCTTGCGCAGCAGAAGTCAGTTTCTAACTATCTTCCCGCTGTCATGCTGGCGCATCCAAGGCTACGCTGGCGGTGGTAAACGTGGCGGCGCTGCCAGACAAAGGTGAGCGTCTGAGGACTCAGGTCAGAGAGCTGGAGGCGGCTCTGGAGTCTCTCAACCTCACTCCCGCAGATGACAAGCCACCCACCAGCCAGGTAGCGAACCCCTTCAGCCGCCCGGGGGGCACCATCCTCATTCCGGCCCCTCCCGCCCCAGGACCCCACCCGCAGCCAAATCGGGGCTTCTCCCAGATGCATGGAGGTCAGTACATTACCTCCGCTACGTATGTAATTTCACAATTCCCTAATGTATAAAAAAAATATCCCTGAATATGGTCCCAAAATATGATGGTGTTCTGCGTTGCGTTGTAGAGCACCAGGCCTTCTACGGCGGCCGCATGACGGACAACCGTCTGCTGGCCGTGAAAAACGCCACGTGCAAGGCCATCGATCACCTGCACACGTCGCTGGAGTCCTGCCCGTCCGCCGACGCCGAGGCGCCAGACCCCAGGGGGCTCCGGGTGTCGCTGTTGGCTCACCAGAGGAGAGCGCTGGCCTGGCTGCTGTGGAGGGAAGCACAGAATCCATGCGGAGGCATTTTGGGTAAAGGCGGCAAATGGAAGTGTTTTCATCATGAAATGAATTTTGATTTTAACACCCGCTGTGTTTGCGGCTGCAGCGGACGACATGGGCCTGGGAAAAACGCTCACCATGATCGCGCTCATACTGGCGCAGAAGAGCAAGGTGAAGGCGGAAGGGGAAGGGGAGGGCGAGGAGGAGGAGGAGGAGGAGGAGAAGAAGCAGGAGGAAGGCTGGCTGTCAAAAACCGGTAACATCAAATAAGACAGGAAATTGAATGAAAGAACATTGAATAAATAATATCAACATAAATTGGGATTAAGTCAATTTTTGCAATCTATTGAACAGGTAAAAATGAAATATGGTAAATAATTCCTTTCACACATTTTTTAATTAAGTCATCAAATAAATGAAAGATGCCATTACATCATTCAAGATTCCTTTACATAAATAAAAATGACATTTACTGTGAATAAATAAAAGGCATAGAATTTGACCCCCAAATCTCAAGCTTTTCACCTTTTTACATTTGACAATTTAATGACTGAAAAATGCCACCCAGATTGCCGACCGAGGCCCTCCAAAGGCACCCTGGTCATCTGCCCGGCCTCGCTGGTCCACCACTGGAAGAAGGAGATTGAGCGACACGTGAAGGCAGGTCGCCTCAGCGTGTACTTGTACCACGGACCAGACCGCAACAAGAACGCCCGAGTGTGAGCGCACACACACACACACACGCACACGCACACGCGCACGTGCAGAACCAAAGCAATTTGACTCACCAAAGGTGCCGTGTCTGGCAGGCTGGCTCAACACGACGTGGTGGTGACCACATACGCTTTGGTGTCCAGGGAAGCGCCCGGCCAAAAGGAGGCGGACCAACCCAACAAGGAAGCCAAAGATGCGGTGGGTGAAATATCAAAATATGAAGCGCAGTCATTAAGAGTTTCTGAGTTTTT